AGCTCAATTTCATATCAAAGGATGATCCCAGGGAGTTCAATTGTAATTCAGATATGAATCCCTGACGAAGATAGTCAGTTCAATATCGACTCAACAACACAAGCTAAGATCAGAAAACAGTACACCAAATTTAGTTCGAGGCTTCAACAACGGTCAGACGATAAACACAGCACCGGTAGAATCTCAACTATTCGACAAAATACTGAATAGACTGAGAATTGAAGAAGTTAAGAACTGAAGCCAATTACAGGTACTTTCACACCGACTGAAGGTTAGGCCTATCACATCCAAAGTATTTCAGGCCCTTCTATAAAAGAAACGAGACTGAAGCACTTTGGAGGGGGTATCTGTAGGCATCAAAAATTGTCTATAGATTCATGCACGCAGTTCGAGATGGAGAGAAGATAATGAACGTCATTATCCAAATCAATGAGGGTTATCTGATGTCGACAAGCACATAAAGCGGATCGGTAAAGTGTTGATGACGTAGCAACAAGCATCGGAATGGAAAACCAAGTGGCTCGTACGCTAACCGGCCACCTCTAAGTTAACGAAATGTATGAAGTGAATCGGTGAAGCGTACGAGTCAACGTGACACGCGAAATGGTAAAACAACTCAGCTAGGAATTGTGTTTCGTCCAAAAGGGGTGAAACACCATGTGTGACTCGCCCATACTATGTGTGGCTCATCTATTGGAAGTTGTAGATCTCTTCGTCATCTTTTCAACGCATCTTGAATCACCTTATTCTGAGATCGGACAAGAAAGTTAGAGCCAAAATACCCGAGGTGGTATGAACTGGCTCGCAAGGCTGTGAGCTATCGTTTGGTGGCTTGCACAAAGAAGTGACATTTAGACCATGATGTGATTTGATTCTGAAAAAACTCAAATCAACTTATTCTAAGATCAGATGAGAGAGTTAGAGCTAAAATACTCGAGATGGTACAAACTGGCTCGCAAGGCTGCGAGCCACCATTTGGTTCAAAGCTCCGAGCCACCAGGTGGTGATCCGCTCCCAAAACTTCCCAAAACGCGGAATTCGATGTTTTTTAAGGATTATTTCATTCTAGGACCTCCCCAACTATTTTGAACCTATCCCTAAGTACGGTTGAGCGGTTATCAACTTCAAATGATGTCAAAACACTTAATCTTATCAGAAAACGCAGCGACAAAAGCCTATAAATAGAAACCCAATGTTTTCATTAGAGATGATCTAAAATCTAAGGGTGAGGTACTATCAAATTGAGCAGTAAATTATGAATTTTAGAGGAGAATTGGCAGATCTTGGCGAATTTTTTCATAAAGAAAAAGCCTTCGAAAGATTTGAGATTCTCTCTCCCTCTTTCCTCCAGATCAAACTTTGTTTTGATCTTGAGAAGACCCACAATCTTGCTTGGTCGTGATTGTCACTGCTACAATTGTTTCCTTAGTGAAATAAGAGCATAATTAAACTTGTCAACCGGATCGATCCGCTGTGGTCCACAGACTAAGGCGTCCCTGGTACAGGCAAAGATATCACGCAAAGAAACATGAGATAAATTATTACTGTGTTTTGTTGGATAAACTTGTAATCTTTTATTTTCATTGTGTAAGGAGATCTTATAAAAAGATCGATTTGCCTTTCAGTTTGAACTTATAATCGATAAACGGTGTAACAGGTTTAACAATAATGGAAACAATAATTTTTGACGAAAACAGGCGTATCATATCCAAAGTATTCCAGGCTCCTCTATAAAAGAATGAGACTAAAATACTTTAGAGGGGGTATCTGTAGGCATCAAAAATTACCTATAGGTCCCTAAACACAGCTCGAGATGACGAGCCGTCTAGCGACGAACCGTCAGACGACGTGGCGACGAGCCGTCGAAACAACAAAGCGGCGAATCGTTGATGACGAAACAACAAGCCACCGGAATGACAAAACAAGGGAACACGCGCTTATCAACCACCTCCAAATGGCCCGCGCGCTCATCAGCCACCTCCAAGTGGCCCACGTACTTACATGCCACCTCCAAGCGGCTGCGTGCTCACCGGCCACCTGCAAGTGGCATGCATGCTCACCGGCCACCTCCAAATGGTCCCCGCGCTCACCGGCCACCTCCAAGTGGCCCGCGCGCTCATCAGCCACCTCCTCCCCGCGCTCACCGGCCACCTCCAAGTGGCCCGCGCGCTCATCAGCCACCTCCAAGTGGTTCGTTCACTCATTAGCCACCTCTAAGTGGCCCACACACTTGTCAACCACCTCCAAGTTAACAAAATGCATGAAGCGAATCAGTGAAGCGTATAAGTCAGCGAAACGACGAAATGTGGGTAACGACGAAATAAGTTCAACTTAGAAGTCCGTAAAGGCCACCCTGATAGCCGAGTCGCGTCAAAATGGCTCGACCAAGGTCAGGTGGCTTGGCCAAGGCCGAGCTACCATAGGGTGGCTCACACAGTTCCGAGCCACCGTAGGGTGGCTCGCGTCTAGAAATGCTGAAAATGCGTTTTTTGATAGTTTTCTCGGGATTCTTTCGTTCCAGAGCCTCCCCAATTATTTTGAAGCTATTCCTAAACGTGGTCAAGCAGTTATTAACTGAGGATAAGGTCAAAACATTAATTCTAATCTGAAAACGCTGCGTCCGAAGCCTATAAATACAAGCCTAGGGGTCCTATACGCAGGGGATCTGAAATTTAGGCGATGTGCTGTCCATGTGAAGAGTGAATCACGAATTTTAGAGAGGCTAGCAAAAATACTAAAAATGCGTTTTTTGATAGTTTTCTCGGGATTCTTTCATTCCAGAGCCTCCCCAACTATTTTGAAGCTATCCTTTAACGTGGTTAAGCGGTTATTAACTGAGGATAAGGTCAAATCATCAATTCTTATCTAAAAATATTGTATCTGAAGCCTATAAATACAAGCCTAAGGTCCTATACGCATGGGATCTGAAATTTAGGCGAGGTGTTATCCCTGTGAAGAGTGAACCACGAATTTCAGAGAGGCTAGCAGATCTTGGCGAAGTTCTTCAGCATGAAGAGGGAGAATTCGAGAGATGTGAGACCTATTCCCCTTTCCTCTGAATCAAACTTGGTTTTGATCTCGAGAAGAGTCATAATCTCACTTGGTTGAAATTATCACTTTTGCGATTGTTTCCTTTGTAAAGCAAGAGCATTGAACTTTTTATTTTATTTGTAAGCGAGTAGTCTTATAAAAAGATTAACTCTTTTGAATTCATTATAATCGATAAACGTGTAATAGATTCGACAAATAAACCAAGTTTCAACGCAAACACACTACAATTTTTTGTGATAACAGTTCCACAATTAAACTATCTAAAAATCCTGTATTACATGGCCGTAGCAAGCACATTGATGTGCATTTCCATTTTCTTCATGATCTCACGAAAGAAAGAGCAATTGAATTGGTTTATTGTGGAACATAAGATCAGCTGGCAGATGTGATGACAAAAACCTCTCACAGTGGATGCATTTCAGAGGTTTCGAAGTCAGTTGGGAGTCTGTCAAGTTCCTCAATTAAACTAGTTGTCAATGATAACTAGTTTATGGGAGGGAATGAAGAGAACGTTTAGAGATTCAGTTGAGATTTTGTATTTTGTTGATACCAAGTCTAGTTTAGGAGAGGGAATGATAAGATTTAGTTTGTTATTATGTTAGAATAAAAGTCCTAGTCTTTAGGGACTGTTGTTATTTGATTCAGTAGTACAAAACAGGACAGTCCAAACGGATATTACAACCGTTTGGACAAGTAGAAATAGCCCAAACGGGTATAACCATTTGGGATAATAAACCCAAACGGATAAATCCGTTTGGATTGTTAAAAAATCCCAAACGGCTGAACCAAACGGTTTTAACTGTTTGGGATATCTCAACCCAAACGGTTAAAACCGTTTGGGAGTTTTTTTTTTTAAAAAATAAAAGCCTTTTTTTTCCTTTCGTTTCCCCCCCATAATTTTCATTCCAGCGCCAGATTTGAGTCATCCCAAAATTTTTGTCCCAGCGCCAAATAAAAGTCATCCCCAAAATTTTCGTCCCAGCTCCAAATTAGAGTCATCCCCAAAATCCCTAACCCCCACCGCACTCTCAAATCCCTAACCCCCTCGACTTCGCCTCATCCGACCCGGTCGAAGTCCGACTGCTGCCGCTGGCCAACGCACCTCATCTTCGCCTCATCTTCGTTCGCCAGGGCCCCCCTCATCTTCGCCGTGGGCCATCGTACCCCCTCCGCCTCCCTCATCTTCGCTGACGCTCCTCCTCCTCCATCGTTTCCATCAGTTATATTCAGAAACTGAATACGAGGTATACACAAAACCCCTCAAAGTTCCCCTTTTACAGCCTCAGTCCTTTACCCAGCTCTTACAAGAATTCCCTGGCCAATTCTAGCGTAAGATCCATGCCCCTCAGAATCTTTAAGCACCCATTCCCCCTCCTTCTCCTGCCAAGCACATTAAGGCCTTTATTGCGCGCCGCCACGGCTCGGTGAAGAACAATGAGGCTTCCATCCCCCAGGGGAGCGAGGTTGAGTTGGGCTTTGATAAGACTTTTGGCTTCTCGAAGCAGTTTTTCTCAAAGTACGAGCTTGGTGAAGAGGTTGGGAGAGGACATTTTGGGTATACTTGCACAGCCAAGTCTAAGAAGGGAGAGATGAAGGGGGAGGAGGTGGCAATCAAGGTCATTCTCAAAGCAAAGGTTTGTCCCTCTCCGGAATGAGATCTGGTGTGGATTCAGATCTCATAATATTGTGTCAATAGCACCAATATAATCAGATCCGATATGCTGCTTTATTACTGTTTTCTTTTACATTGTCATCCATTTGTTGTAGATTATAGTTCCTTATTTTCATTATGTAGCTGTTAAGGAAAAATATCTCAATTGATAGCTCTTACATCACAATCTTCCTCATAACCTTGAGTTGCTGAGTATTGCAATTTATTTTTTCTTCCTATTTTTTGTTCCTACATAGAAAGTTGCGGTAGACAGATCCAACAAACTTAAGATGGGGATGCATCTGATGAGTCGATGGACATCACAGCTATAGCAAGAATGAGAAAGTTCAGAGCAATGAACAAGCTTAAGAAAGTAGCCTTGAAGTTGAAGGTGACTGATACTCATCCATTGTTTTTACCAAAAGTTTACCATTCAGAATTTATTTATTAACAATGGAGTATTGTACCCGGGCGATATGGACGGCCGACTGTGGTACTGTCAACATATCCTAATGTTTTTTGTATTTGCATGGCTTAACATTTTTCACACATTAGGAATTTAGAAAAACTGTAGTAGTTCTCAGGCATCTATTCAACCTGGTGGAACAGTTACATTTGAGCATCGAAACATCAAAGGGCAAAACAGGTCCATTGTGGGCTCTGTGACATCTAGCAATCTCCTCAATCCTCAGGTAACACACATCATTATGCACTAGAACATCCTAGATTTGCAATATTTATATGTATGTATAAATGTTCTGTATACTCGAATTACATACAAGAGAATCCTAAATCTTGCAGTATATGTTTATTTGGGAAATATGGTTTGATTTGAGCTGAACATCCACTATCTAAGAGGTTTTGTCAAAATGCACTAGGCAACATGTTTCCTTTATAAATTAATGAGCCAATTGTATGTTAACCTTATACATATTGGAGAATGGGTGGTTCGCGGGGCGTGCATGTTAAACACTTTTCTTCTTTTTCACACTAGCAATTTGTTGTAGAGTTTACAGATTAGAAGCATCTGGGATATCATACTGCATATGTGGACATTCTGCTTACTTTACATAAGTTTAAGGATTTTAAATTACAGCTATAGTCTGGTGAAGTTTACAAGTTTGATTTGGGATTAATCTTTGGATGATAATTAAAGGATAAGGGAATCAGTTGCGTAGGGATTTAACAAGAAAGCTAGAGAATTTCAGTTAACAAGCGCTTTTTCATTTTTACTAGTGTTGTAATTGTGCATTTGTTCTTGCTAACAGTTTGTTTGCCCTCTTATTTGCTTGTTTAGGATGATCTATCTTTCAAGCTTGAGTATGTGCATCCTTACTTGGATGGCGTGTATAATGGTGCTCGGCAATTGCCTACTGGTGCTTTGAGCATGGATGGACCTCTGACAACCTTGAGTAGTACTGGTGTTGATCGTATGGCATTTGCACAAGCAAACATTACTTGTGACAACACAAAGTTTGTCAATAGTGCAATTGTTGGTGAAAGGAATGTGTTTCAGGTATCATGTCCTCTTACTGATCGTTGCTTCCAGTTTTATAGAACTGTTAACTGCAATTCTTCATATGCATCACTGTTGTCAGAGGTTCCAATGCCTATTTATCAATTGATTTTCCTACTTCAAGACAATTGACAATCGGAATTGCATGACATAAACTATTTTTCACCTATTTACTTAATGGAATTAGCTGGCCAATATAAGCCATTGGATAGTTGCAAATGATTAAAAAAAAGCCAACTTCAATGTGATATTGTGTAATAAGCATGTTACTAGTGTTTTTTTTCCCCACAGGCGTTATTTAGGAACATCTACCCTTAGGAATGCCTGTAAGAATGGATATCTTAGCATATCATTTTAATAATATTTATGCATCTTATGTGATTCTTATTTATTTTTTTGTTTTGCTTCTCTCCAATAATCACATATATCATATATCTTGATTGTCTATATTTTCTAAATTGCAGCTAGATCAAGGCCTGGGAATTGGTACCAATTTCCCATTCTTCAACCATCGTCAGCTCACACTAACCAGATTCACTCTTGGAGGACCTAATTCTGTGCGGGGATACAATATGGGTGAGTTGAGTGCGTGTAGGAATATTCTTGAGATATTGTGTATGTATATGTTTTCGATTTCATTGTGAGATGTTGAGAAATCATTGTGTGAGATGTGTATATTAAATGTAAGCAGAATAATATTGGATATAACACCGTTTGAGACATTTTTGTGTATGTATATGTTTTTGATTTCATTGTGAGATATTGAGAAATCATTGTGTGAGATGCGTATATTAAATGTAAACAGGTAGATAAATAAAACAATCAACATTAAAAAAAATGCTAAAAATCAACAGGCCAAACAGTTGAAACTGTTTGGGCAAATTTTTGTCCAAACGTTTGGGCAGTTTTTACATCCCAAACGGTTGTAACCGTTTGGGAATTTGCCCAAACGGTTATAACCGTTTGGGACTTTGCCCAAACGGTTACAACCGTTTGGACGTCCGTTGGGGAATACTCATCCCCAACGGCTTTAGCCCAAACGGGTTTTTTCTTTCGCCCAAACGATTGTAACCGTTTGGGAGGGGGTTTTCCCAAACGGTTCCAACCGTTTGGGCTGTCCTGTTTTGTACTAGTCAAGTTTGTTACCACGATTAGAACTGGGGTGTAATTAAACTGTTTCATTCTGTAAAAGCTATTTAATAGCTGTTGTTTCTCATTCAATAACATGTCATTCCCAGAATTGTTGAATACTTTGTATTTTACGTCTTATATTCTTAACATTCCATAGGTGGTTCTCCAAGAGAAGCATGCGCATAATACTTTGGTCAACATATTGTTCCTTCTCCTTGTGCCTAATAATTTGAGATTTGTATAACTCGTGTTGCATAAAAAAGATTTCCTAGGATTTTCTTTTCAGAGGTTCGTGTTATTTGATTTTCAATAGTAAATTTATTTCATAAATGTACCACATAAAAACATCAAATTGTACAGACTGAGAAGTTACGCAATCCACGGGGTTTGTTTGTATGTTTTTTTCCTTCTTCGCAATTTTACTGTTTTTTCGGTGAAACAATTATATGGAGGAGCGTGTAGTTATGCAGTGATGATGCGCAGCATTTGTTCGTATTTTTATCTCTTTCTTTGTATTTTTAATTTCTTATTTGGTGAAACAACTACATGAAGCAAGCACGCGCGTTCTACTCTACTAATTAATCATAAATGGTCTTGCGTACGAATCTTTTCGTAGCTATGTTCGGCTCTTTATTTTTGTTTTTCAGTTAATAAAAAAACAAAAAGCAGAAAAGGTCAAAGTATGAATTGAAATTCAATCAAAATCTTTGATCCTTTTAATAACTGAACAAACACAAACTAAACAACTTGTTTTTAGAGTTTTAGAAATTTTAATCATGATCAACATCATAACATACATTGATCAAAATGGATTAAAAGTAAAACAAGATTACAAAAAGAAATTATGGATCTAAAACAACCCTAAAAGAATGCACTTTCATTTATTTTTCTTCTTTCGTTTCACAAACATATCTGATTATTACCATATCAAAAAGAACCAAGTTACCTGAGCATAATGATTAACACAATTACTCAAAAACTTTTCAAGGTTATACGGATCAAGCATAAAAGAAAAACTTGATCGGCAAAAGCATATAATAAATAAGAATTTAATTCTTTTTAGATCTAAATAAAACATACATAATTAGATCACTGTTAATCTATATATCCCATCACAGCTAACGGATCAAAGCACGAACCAAAGTTCTGATACCATGTTGAAAGATGAGTGTAGAAGTTATACCCCGGATCAATACTCTGATTTGAAGCTAGTGATAACCTATTCAGATCTTGATGATAGAAAGAATTACGATGGACAAGACTCCCCCGCCCTATTCACAATCCATATAGTAACCTCCGATCAATTTTCTTGAGCCAATTGCCAATTTGTTGTGTGTGAGAATGAAATCTCCATTCTAATTTATAGAGGAACTTAAACCAAGAGATAAGTTCCTTCAATTAGCTACCAAAATTCCTGTAGATAGGGATAATCAACACCAAGAGATATGATCTTACAAACCTCTTGATCCTATCCCAAATTCCATAATAACAATCATATCAAAATAGATACAGCAGGCAACTGATAAGGGCGCCCATATCCCACACGTGTGATACCAGATAATTCGATCATCAAAATGAAGATGTCCAATAAATCCAAGCTAATATGGAATAACTGGCATCCGTAATTCCAAGTTGTAGTTAATTTATTTGTGGAAATGATTAAAAGTCTATATTCTTTGTTTTGATTCTCTTTTCGATTTTGATTTTTCCTGTATATAAAAAAAATCTAGCTAAATATTTCCTATCAAAATATTAATAGTTTGAACTAATTATTAATTATTTATGGTGTTTCCCCATATTGGTTCCCTTGCATCCTTTCATAATTCAAAGTTAGCGCCTCAATAATATTTAGTCGCTCATTTTTTTTTTACTTATTTCAAATACTTCCTTTGTTATTTTTTTGTCCAATGTCTAAGTCTGATTGGATTAGTGTTTAATTTAACATGATTACCTATTTCCTCAAATTAAAAAAAAACATGATTAACTATATTTTAACCGCTTCTGATCTGGCTCTGATTCTTGCTGCTAAAAAGGGAAAATGCGTCTGGTCTTAGGAGTGAAAAACTGAGTTGAAAAAAGAAGAAGAAAAGATTGCGTTTGGCTTTTAAACATGCTTTGAGTTTACATATAACTTAAGCAAAATCCGAGATACAAAGTTAAGTTAAATTAAATATTCCTCCAAATTCAAACGATTGCAAATTTTGAGATAATAATAGTAATTGAGGGAATGAATAACACTTTTAATGATTTTGATGGACTAATTTCAAAATACTAATGAATTTTATATTAGATTACAACTAAAAACATTCAATAATTGGACGGTCTAATAGGTCACATGGCAAAACGGTGTCGCTTTCTCGTGGGAGGCCTAAGTTCGATTTCTATGTGTGCCCAAAGTCATGATAAAAAATTCAACAATTTTTTTTACTATATAAGGAGGTGTTTGTTTCCTTGTATATATTTTGCAACTTTACATTAAAAAAATAGGACCTACAAGACAAAAATCTTAAATTTTAATTAAATACATTGTTTGGTTCGTATTTTTTATCATAAAATTGGAGCTGCCATGTAGGATTAACGCATCAATTCTAATTCCCTAACAATATATGGATTACACTCTGGTTTTTATTCAGGCTTATCTAAAAAGGACAAATGAGTGATATTATACCATTTATCCTCAACAAATTCTTGTTCAACCAAACAAGAATTTTTTGCTTAAATTTGTCATTCATCAAATCCTCTTCAATGTGCATGCAAACAGACATGGTTATGGATGTCGATTTTTTTAGATCTATGAGATGCATCAAAACTAATCCATGAGCCAAACCGCCCCTAAGTGTAACAAAATTGGCATTAGAAGGCCTATCTACACCAATAAAAATGTAAAGGGGTATATCTGAATCAATAAAACTATTTTAAAATTTTTAGGAGTAAAATTCAATCAGGAGTCTATCTGCTTAAGTAGAGTTTTCAAGGAGGTCTATCTGCAATTAACCCTTTCCCCTTCTCTTTTCCTCTCTCTTTTTTACTTTTCATGAATTTTGCCTTTGGATCTATTTTATTAAACTCTCAGATAGAGCAATGATAACTAGATCCATTGAATTGGCAACATCTCAGATAAAATTATAACGTTCTCTTCTACATTGATTTTTCTAAAATTGGATAATTATAATAAAAGAGTAGGGAAATGACTCCTAAATTAGCAAAAGTTTTTTCCTCTGAAAATATTAAACCCGATAATGTAAGGCATTAATAAATTAGCAAATCGATTATTATAGTTTGTAAGTCCTCCTGTTTGATCCTCCTTAGTTATAGTCTAATAAGTTGCATATAACTCCTTTTCTTTCTTGCATTAAACAAACAAAAACATTAAAAAAATGAGAAAGAGAAAAGAGAAAAAAATTATGGCATCAACCGAAGGATGAAGAGGAGATTCATATCCTACTGTAAATGTCGTCAGTGAATTGAACAATGGCTTGCTAAAGCACTCGTCAGATGGGCCTACTACCGAATTCAAGGTACTATTAAATTTAAAGTTAAACACATAAGAGGAAATACTATGAACAATGACATATTGTGTAAGGTAATATAGGTAAAACAATAGTATCTTCATTTTATTTTTATTTTCTTTTGATTTATATTGAAGGAGGAGATGTTGGGATTATGTATTGATTATTTGTATAACTTCATGAGAATTAGATAGAGTTAGAGATCTATCATGATTAGGAGATTGGGTCTCATCATGATTAGAAGTTTGAATTCTATTTTAATTAGAAAGTTAGGCTAGAGATATGACTTTTATTTTCCTATGTATATATTCTTCTATTGTTGGAGGAAAAACCTAGCAGATGAGAGAGAGTCAATATTCTTGTAATATAAGGTTAGCAGAGGGCGTAGCCTGACTCAAGAATATGCGAGAGGGTTTCAAAGTCTTTGTCCGTGCAAAAGATTACATCATTGGGAGAGGGTTTCGCAGTTTTTGTCCGTTCAAAAGATTGTAAGACGTGGGTTTTGGAGAGAATATCAGAGTTGATTATGTATGTGAGGTTGAGAGATTAAGAGACGAGAGTTAAGTGGTTCCTCTTGTAGTTCTCCCTGATACATAGTAAATTTCTCGTATTGTTGCCCCGTGGACATAGGTCGAAGTTGGTCGACCGAACCACGTAAATCTCGGTGTCTCTTAATTGTGGATGTTTTATATCTTGTTGATTGTGGGTTGGTTTCCAAGTTGTGAAGATCGTAGTTCGCGGAGTGACTAAAATTCCCCAACAAATAGTATTAGAGCCATGATGATGAATTTGGTAGTTAGTTTTCAAGATAGAAGTCGTCGTCATGTGAGATTAAAGATCGGCTTACAAGAATCAAGATGAAGAGAAAGAAAAGAAAAATGAAAAAAAGAAGTTATTGTGGCGGCGAGAATACTATAAGTGGCGGAAACACTGTTCAGGTAGGTTTTTGAGTGTTCTGAGCGCAATGGGAGGGTTTGATTTTTTAGATTTTACTCAAGCTGGCCAAAAAGTACTGATAAGTTCTGATA